CCCTAAACCCAAAATCTGCCCCTCCAACCTCCCTTCTTCCTCCCCCATGTGTGCCCCTGACCCAGAAACTCAGACATTCTGGCCTAGCCCCTAATTATTCTTGGGAAAACCATTCTGCCTTCAATACCTGAAGAAATAGCGTGAAGCCTGGTGACAAAATAAGTCACCTAAACACTCCCTTCTCCAGGCTCAGAATGTTTACTCCCCAACACCCAGGGGCAGGCAGGGCCAGAGAGTGTAACTTGGCTTTTACAACAGGGGTAGCTCAGCTGCAACGGGAAGCACCCAGGGACCTGCTTTGCTAGTGTTCCTCCCAGGCCAGCTCCACATGTCCTCCTGCCTCTCCTCTTCTGTCTTGCTCACATCCAGGAACTAAGCCCACATCCAGCCCTCTCACTGCCTCCATTTTCTCAGGAACCTCCAACCACAGAGACTCTAAGCCAGTCAGAGTTGGGGGCACCAGGTGGCTCAGTCAGTTAAGCTTCCAACTGTTGATTTCAACTCAAGTCATGATCTCAGGGTGGTAAGATCAAGCTCAGCAGGGAGTCTGCTTGAGATTCCCTCCCTCTCCAACTGCCCCTCCCCACTCAAGTCAATAAGTAAATCTTTAAGCTAGTCAGAGCTGGAGGGTGTGACTGATGTTGGCTGGTCCCAGAGGCCTCACATTTTGGTGCGCCAGGATTTATCACCACCATAGCGGCTTCTCCCTGATTGCCTTTCTCCCAAGTCTCAGAAGGTGACCTACCCTTGCGAAAAGCAGGCAACAACTGCAGGGGAATTGTCCCCCCTTAGGGTCACCCTCTACCAGGGGCAGACAGAAGTCAGGGTCTGAATGCCCAGATTCTTTAACCTCATGTGGGATGCAGGAGCGCTTTCCACTGTTTTTCAGATGTTCTCAGTGCCGCTCCCCACACTACTAACCTACTTCATAAGGCACCTTCCCTGGCTCCCTGACTTGCTTCCCCACAGCCTGTGGGTGTTTCTTGCACTTCATGAGTAAGTCTGCTTTCCCTGGGATCTTAAGATTTGCTTCAGGGAAACCCAAGCAAAGAACAGTTGGATCTCAGAAAACTCTAGGCCAGCTCCTTCCCACCACAGATGACACTGAGACCTGGAGAAGAAAGATGACCCGTTCCCCCAACACCTGGTCATCCCCATAGACCCCCTCCACCCACATTGCCACTTCTACTTGAAAGAGAACCTCCCAAAATATTTCAAATACCTTAAAAAGTGTTTCCAGACTTCATTTATTCACATACCACCTTCACAGTTTTTGCCACAGCCACATGTCCTTTTTATATTTGTCATACCCACATTACTGCCTGTAGTATTTAATTAATACACTTTTAGGGGCACCTGAGTGGCTCAGTGGTTGAGCATCTGCCTTTGGCTTAGGTCATGATCCCAGGGTCCCAGAATTGATTCCTGCATCGGGCTCCTCTTGGGAAGCCTGCTTCTCCCTCTGCCTGTCTTTGCCTCTCTCTCTCTCTGTCTCACATGAATAAATAAATAAAATCTTTAAAAAAAAAGAGAGAGAATGATTAAGTAAGAAATGGCACATTCATATAGTGGAATACAGCACAGCAGTTTTAAAAGGAGAAGGTAGGGGCAGCCCTGGTGGCTCAGCGGTTTAGCACCGCCTTCAGCCCAGGGCCTGATCTTGAGGACCCAGGATTGAGTCCCACGTCGGGCTAGCTGCATGGAGCCTGCTTCTCCCTCTCGCCTGTGTCTCTGTCTCTTCTCTCTCTCATGAATAAATAAATAAAATCTTTAAAAAAAAGAACTTTAAAAAAATCTTTAAAAAAAAATAAAAGGAGAAGGTACATACTACAAAGTAACACAGATAGATCGCCTAACTATATGAATAAATGAAAAAAGGTATGTTGTAGAATATGTCATATTCATGTAGAGTATGACATCATTTATATAGGAAGTAAAATATAATACTACATATTTTCTGGGTATTTTCTATTTCTTATATATAGGAAGCTTTGGAAAACTACTCACCAAACTGACAACAGACATTATTTCTGATGAAGGAGAAAGAGAAGAAATTAGGAATGGGGAGGGGAGGGAAACCTGGTCAGAGAACTTCCCCTTATCTGTAAGATATTATTAAGTGTATTTGTGCATTTTTTTTAATTTTTTAAAATAATTTTAGGAATCCATATCTCTGAGGGTCTAGAAGTCTAGATCCAAACAGCTAGCACAAATGCAAAAGTTTGTGGACATCTCTGGTTTAAACTCAAAAATCCATGCAAATTCTATACTCCATAATATGTTTGTTTTAATATGAGTGTTTGCAATGTTTACTTATTGGTTAAATTATACAACTTTCTCACCACCAAGAATAATAATAATCTTGGTGTAAAGCTGATACTCCAAGATGCATCATGCACCTGTGGATTCAGGTGATTCACAGCCATACCATCATGTTCCCAGGGATTCCTTGAACCTCAGGGAAAGAGGCAACAGAGCCAGGACACCTGGGTAGCTCAGTTGGTTAAGGGTCTGCCTTCAGCTCAGGTTATGATCTCAGGGTCCTAGGATCACCCCACTTTGGGGCTCCCTGCTCAGAGGGGAGTCTGCTTCTCTCTCTCCCTCTGCCCACCCCCATACCCTGCTCATGTGCTCAAGCACTCTCTCTCTTTCTGTTCCTCTCTCTCTCTTTCTCTCCCTCTCCCTCTCTCTCTCTCTCTCTCTCTCCCTCAAATAAAGAAATAAATAATTTTTTTAAATAGGCAACACAGCCTCATAGTGGCATTAGTAAATGAGATATCAAATAACAAGCTCTTAACAAAGAATTTTGCTGGCAGTGTAGCACAACCCTGACAGGTGCCAGTATGTTCTTGTATACAAGAAAGTCAGAAGGCATAGGAAACCTCTCAGCAGCCAGTTGCTCTGGGTTCCCAGAGTCTCCATGAGGGGAAAGTACTAAAGGAGAAGATTGTGGTCTTTGGAGACACAAGTGATGGAGGGACCCAGTTCTGTGTTCCCATTTCAGCTTCCTACATCACCAGGGAGATTCAGATGGGCCTATCCGTGGGCCTCATAAGCCTCGGAAGGGTCAGGCGGCCACCATCCAACAAGGAACACTCTGACTAGAAAAAGTTGCCCCATCATGACAGCCTTTGCCTCAGGGACTCCCCTCTCACTCTGTAGCCAGAGGTCAGCTCACAGAGATGTTTCCCTCAGGGCACACAGCTCAAGCCAAGGTAACCTTCTGTTGAAAGAAACTGCAGCGGTAGCCCTGGAAAGAAATCTTCCTGATAGAACTCCAACAAAGGGGGGCAAAGACAGGGCAGCAGCTGAAGAACCGTGAGATCTACCCCCACGTCAGTGCAAGCAAGCTGCCGTGGGTGGATGGGGACACAAAGGTAGGCCCACACTGGGGCAGCTGGTAAAAAAAAAGTCCCCACCACAAATAAAGTGGAAAGGAGAAAAAAATGAGTGGGAAATATCAGAAAGGGAGACAGGACATGAGAGACTCCTAACTCTGGGAAACGAACTAGGGGTGGTGGAAGGGGAGGTGGGCAGGGGGTGGGGGTGACTGGGTGATGGGCACTGAGTGGGGCATTTGAAGGGATGAGCACTGGGTGTTATTCTGTATGTTGGCAAATTGAACACCAATAAAAATAAATGAAATAAATAAATAAATAAATAAATAAATAAATAAATAAATATCCCCACCGCTGTCAGGATCACTTGCCCCCAACCTCCTCACTTGGGGTCAGACTGGCATCACAATGTGACAGCCCCATTTGCTCCCACATGGGCATCTTCTGTCACAAAACCCTCGCACACATAGCACTGCCTTGGCAACTGTTTCTCAGAGTATGCAGTTCCTCAGGAAGGGGTGCTGGGCCCTCGGACACCGCCAGGCCCTTACAAGGAGTGCATTGGGATGCCCCTTGTAAGGATGCCCTGGGATCTAGAGAGGACAGGAGACAGCGGTGCTTAGGGAAACTCCTGTGGGATGAGCCGGAGGCAAAAAAAAAAAAAAAAAAAAAAAAACCTCTGTGACAGACTTATGTGGCAGCGATGCAGGGAGCCCAAGAGTTAAGTGGGTCCAGAGTGTACATGGATGCAGGGCAGGGCCACAGGAAGGGGCTGGGGAAGAGAAGGGACCTCAAATGCTGAACCAAAGATCTAGGGCTTTCTCCTGCAGGCAACCAGGAGTTGTTGCAAGTTTTGAGCAACTGGATCCCATGAGCACATTCATGTTTTTGGAAAGATGGGATGAGTCAAGACTGAAAACCAGGTGGACAAGAAGGAGGTTACGAGGCCCACAGATAGGTGATTTGTCCCTTCACACGGATTTAATAGAATAATCTCTATATATAATTGTCTCTATCAATGCTGCTGGATTTTACATCCAATCAACCCTTTTACTTTACTTTCTAGCATGAAACAGCTTCTCAAATTAATCCTCTTTTGGGTGTCCCAGAGCTATTCTTCAGGAAACACAGCAAGGAATGTCCCCCAGCCAGATCTTGAGGCCTTTCTACCCCACCCATGCCTTCTTTTCATTCTATCTCCCAAGAAGATTCCCATATAGGCATCTGTTTCCAGGAGTCTCCAGGCCCTTGCACACATCAGCAGCTGCATCCCCTACAAGGGAGAGCTAATGGCCCCACACCATCATCTTCTCCCAGGATAGGAGGGGCAACAGCCTCCAGTCCCACCTCCCTGAGTTCCCAAAGGCCTCTCCTGCTAATGAAGAGGGACTCTCACTCTGGGCCTCAGTGGTTACTCCAGAGCCCAAGAAATGCATCTTTGAGCTAAAACCAAAGAAGGTGTGAACCAGTGAGTAGGCAGTGAGGGGCCATCCCCAGAGAGCAAGAGGAGCTGGTTGGGCAGGGGGGGAGCCTTCTATTCTCCACAAGCACCAGGGCCCATCCTGGGATTAGCATCAGGCTCTTTCTCTTGGTTGGCAACTTGGGGGATTTCTTCGATGTCCAAGACACTCAGTAAACATATACTCCAGAGGCAAAGGGAAGTAGTTGGAGGTCAGTTTATTCACTCAGCATGGGCTCTGGCAGTTTTTAAATGGGTGTTGAATCTCCAGAGGAAGAATAGTATGGGTTTTCTACTCCTGAGAGCTGGTAGCTATCTGATAAGTGAGTCTATGTAACAGAGAGCCCCCAGAGCAGACTGTGGTGCCTTAAGGCCATGGTTCTCCAGGTGATCTCACTTGTAACCCGCAGCAACAGCATGTCCCCAGGAACTTGCTAGGAAAGCAAAAATTTTGGTCTGCCCCCAGACCCAGTGAACCAGAAATTAGTGCTTTAACAAGTCACCACGACATGCTTTGAAAAAGCTGTGTTGATGCACGCCCAGGTTGGAGAACCGCTAAGGGAAAGATCTTTCCATATGGTTGAGTCTGGACCCCCTGTTCCAAGGCCGCCAAGAAGGAGGGGATGTGAGGCTGAAGGGGCTCCTTGCTCGACAGAGTTCTTCCCCCCTAGACCCCTGACCCTTTTCACTCCTTCCCTCAACTTCAATTTCTTCCTGGAACCCTTGGGCCTCCAGGTTCCCAAACTGGGGCTATCTCACTGACCTGACCTTAGAGCTCTGTTCCCCACAAACTCCACCCCCAACTTCTCAGAACTCTTGGGAGTCTCCAGTCCCCAACCCCTTGGCCCTGTCTTCAGCCCTGGCAACCCATGCCTGCCCCCATCTCCTTCCAGGCCTGCAGGACCCTGCACCCCTCCCCAGCCCAGCCTGCGGCTCAAGCCTCCTCGCCATCAGGCCCCACGAGCAGCAGCGGCTGAGCATTTTTGCCCTTGTCGTGCCAGCATACGTCGAAGAAGGGGTACACGGGCCCGGGCAGGCGCTCGTGGAAGGCAAAGAGCAGCTCGAGGGCGTCGGGGTCACTGGCATCATAAAAGGAGAGGACTCCGTCGCCGAAGCTTAGGTAGATCCCGATGCGCGTGGGCCGCCTCTCCGGGGTGCGCAGGGCGCGCGGCTCCTTGGCTTCGACGTGCGCCTCCAGGATCTTGCCGTCCCGCAGCCCGAGCAGCCAGAGGCCCTGCGAGGGGACCGCGTGCAGCCGGCCGCGGCGGCTGGCCTGGGCCGCGATCACGCCGAGGGCCCAGCGCGGCTTCTCGCCCACCTGCACCTCCCAGTAGTGCTCGCCGTCGGACAGCACCTGCTGCGCCACCACCGCCACGGCCTTGTCGAACTGGCACGGATCCTCCCCGGCCGGCGGCGCCTTCTGGTCCGAGCACTCCACGCGGCGGCCGGAGGGAGACAGCACCAGGCTCGGGTGCGCAGAGCTCGGGTCAAAGGTCAGCTCCTTCGTAACTGCCAGGAGGGGAAGTGGTCAGGCCCTGCGTGGCTACACCCTTGCAAGCTTCTCCCAACGAACTGAGGGGCCTGCGGGTCTGCTCTAACCACCCCACACACACACAGCCCTAGGAGGTGTATCCCTCTCTGCTTACTGGCTTGGCCCAAAGCCTGTACCTCTCGAGCTTCAGCCGGCTCAGCTGGAAAACGAGGCCATAACTGCCTCCTTCCAAGTCGGGAGGATTAGGGCCATATGAGCATTTAAGTCCGTAGCTGAGGCCCCCGTCACAAAGCAGGAGAGATAGGAAGCCCAGTCCTAGGCGGGCCCCTGCCTCACTCTGCTGTATGACTTCAGCAGTCTCGAGCCCATCTCTCGCTGGGGTTAGTTCTGCCTTGGAAAACAGAGCCCACTCCCCCCACACCTCCCCCCAGGCAGGGCTATACCAGCCATGTGCCCGAGTCCTAGAGTTCTGTAACCTGTGGCTCCTCACTGTGACCTAGCTCTCAGGGAGCAGAGGCAGAGCTCTCAGGGGCCTCCCCAGAGCCGGGCCACCAGAGTCAGTGCCTGGCCTCGGCCCGTCCCCAAGGTGCCAGCTCTGCAGATCCTCGGCCTCCGATTCCATTATCATCTCTGCTGTCCAGATGGGGCAGGAACTGACCAAGGATCACACAAGGCTCAACCCCAGACCCCAGCCTCCCCTGCTTGCCAGCAGCAGCAGCAGCTTTCCTTTCAGGAAGCAGAGTCATCACCACATCAGTCACCCACCCGTAAGCCCCATGCCCTCCAAGGTCCTTCTCTGAGCCCAGATGACAAGGGTAAAGGGGCAACGGGCACCTTCTCTGATGACAAGGGTAAAGGGGCAATGGGCACCTTCTCTGATGACTTCTGGGACTGAGAGGCCCCATTACGTCTCTGGGACCTGCCCTCAACCACACAGTTACAAACATGAACCCAGAGGTGGCCTCTCCCAGTACCTGGCATCAGAGCCCGGAACATCTTCCTCCACACCTGGAATTTGAAATCATCTGAGATGACAGGCAGCTGGATGTCCAAACGGGCAGGCGGTGGTGATTCTGCCAGGATCTTCTGTAGCCTGGAGGCAGGGGGTGGAGAGTGGGAGCTGTCTGTGGATGGACTTCCTGGAGGAGGCATAGGGTAGGGGCAGGGCAGGAGGTGTTACCCCAAAGAGAGGAGGACAGGGGTCATGGTAGGGTTCCAGGCTCTCTCCTGCATCACAACCTGGCTTACAACTCTGTTGGAGTTTCAGTTCAGAAAGATGAAAATGTTCTGGAGGGAGATGGCAATGATGGTGGCACACCAGCATGAATGTACTTAATACCATCGAATTTAACATGTACACTTAAAAAATGGTTAAAAAGGCAAATTTTACATCATGGACGTTTTACCACAATTTTTTTAATGTATTTACTTATTAAGTCATCTCTACATCCAACATGAGGCTCAAACTCACAACCCCAAGACCAAGAGTCGCTCACTCCACCAACTGAGCCAGCCAGGTGCCCTAACTTTTTTTTTTTTTAAGAAGAACATTCTGTGGGGATAAGATTCAAGCTCCATAGCCCTCTGTCTGCCCTCACCCACCACACCGGCTTCATCTTCCCTCCCTCTTGCCAATCTTGGCATTGGTTCTTTCCTCTGCCTACAGGGCCTCTTCTCCCAACTTTTCACCTCACCAATTCCCATCATTCCTCCAGCACCCCACACAAATGTTCACTCCTCTAGGAAGCCTGCCCAGTACACCCTGCCCTCGCACAGAGCACATGACTGCACTCGCACAGAGCACATACTCATGCCTGTGTCCCCACCCACATCCATCCCCAGCACCAGTCTGGAAGATCCCTGAGGAGGAGGACCAGCTCAGGTTCATTTCTGTGCTCAACACAAATGCAGGGGGATTGCGGTGGACAGAATGGGGGTGTACAGGCTGTCTGGGATTAGAGGGTGAGCCAGCCAGTGTCCCTGAAGACTACAGCAAGTTGGGAAAAGGGGTAGACCACGTTGATCTCACCTGCTGGTCACCAGGCAGTATTTCTGGAAAGAGAGAGAAAGAAATGGAGGTGAGGCAGGGAGGGGAGACACTGAGAACTTCTGAGGATGGGTGGACCACAGGGGATGCTAAGTGTGGGGCCAGAATGAATCAGAAAAGCAAAAATAAACCCAGAATGTAAAGCCAACCCTTGCCCTTTATCTCTGTGTGAACTATATAAACGTACCCCCTTTCCTCAAGAGACCAATTCCACCCGGTAGAAGGACTGTCCGAATAAACATACAAAACTACAACGTCTGTGACATGAATGGTGCCACTTAGATTCAGTGTCCTTGTGCACTGTCCTAAACTGCACAACCTAAACAACCATAACAGCAGTCATGGGGCCCAGTCTCCCTCGATGTGCAACCTGGCCTAGTCCCTGTCCCTCTCTGGATATCAAAGTCCATGTCTGACAATGGGATGGGGTCCTGAACCCTGGCTGAGAAGCAGAGAGGGAAGGTCATCCAAGTGCTCACCATGAGGAACTCAGTCTGTGGCTTGTCGGCCACCTCCTCCAGCACCTTCTCCATCTGCCGCAACTGCTCCAGGTAAGAGTTCAGGCTCCCCAGCTCCCGCCGCAGGGCAACCCCTGCCTCTCCCCGCACACGTTCTGCCTCACGGTCCAAGGAGCCCTCCAGTGCAGCCAGGAACACCCGCATCTTGCCCAGCTGCTCCCCCACAGCCCCCCGGAACTGACGCACCGTCTCCTGTGGGAGCAGACAGGCAAAAGCACTGGGCTGAGCGAGCCCCGCAGCCCCATGCCCAGTCCCCAGGCCCTGCTGTGCTGAGCCCCTCACCTCCACTTCCATGAGCTGATGCTCCAGCAGAGCCACACTCTTCTCCTTGCGCATACATGCCTCCTGCAGCTGCAGTTTCTGCTGTGGCAGCTGTGTCTGGGGGGGAGGGGGGGTAAGGTACAAAGAGGTGATGGGGCTGATCCCTCCCCACACCTCCCACCCCAAACTTACCCTCTCTGGCTCAGCCTCAATGCTAGCTCCCCCTACAGCCAGGTGAGCATCTCGGCATTCCCCAAACTCATGTGCAGATCTCCAGGCCCTTGCTCGCACTAGTCCTAATGTCTAGCATGCCTTACCCTCCCTTTGTCTATTTAGGGAAGTCCTCCCTGGCTTCCCTTCCCAGTCCCATGCCTTCAGCAGTTAGCACCCCTGGCACAGGTCTTTGTGACAGTGACGAACACAAATGTGCTTTGGTGTCCTCCAGCAGAGAGGTACAGCACTGGCACACAGCAGGCCTCTCTGGGTGAGTGTAGAATGTATGAAGAAGAAATGCAACCTCCTCCTCTCCCTGGGCTTTACCCCATCCTTAAAAGCAGAACCATAGCAAAACACCCCAGTCAACCTTCCTGCACACCCAAGGGCTGTGGGAGCAGGCCATTTAATAACGTCTGCTGTGTTGGGACACCTGGCTGGCCAAGTCCATAGAGCACGCGATTCTTGAACTCTGGGTGGTGAGTTACATTACAGCCCAGGTTGGAGGTAAAGCTTACAAAGAAAAGAAGAAAAGAAAAGAAAAAAAGAGAAGAGAAGAGAAAGAAAAGAAAAGAAAAGAAAAGAAAAGAAAAGAAAAGAAAAGAAAAGAAAAGAAAAGAAAAGAAAAGACTGCTATGTCACCAAACACACTTGTGGGCTGGATCCTACCCTGGGCCTGTCAGTTTGTGAATCCTGAAATGCAGGTGTAGGGAAACTCCTAAGAGCTCTTGACAAAGCCATCCCTTTGCAGGGGAAAGGGATCAGACGGTTCCAGTCCCACCCTGTGCCTTCCAACCTCAGCTTCATCTTTTGCAGAATGGGAGCAGTCTGCCTCACTTCATTGGTGGTGTGACAAATCCGCGGCCTTCCCCCACTCCCCTAAGGGAAACTGAGAGACCCTCTAGGCTCTGGGGATGATTCCCGGTTTTAGCGGAAGCCCCAGGATTGCACCACTGGGCTCATGGCCCCCTGGCCAGCCCCCAGGTCACGCTCCTTCCTGGGACGTCCTCTGGGGCCACGCCCGGCCTGCTGCAGAACAAGGCAGACCTGGTGGTTCTCAGCATGGAGCCGTCAGAGGTTCTGGGGCGACAGGGCTAAGCCATGAGGAAGAAGCGTGACGCCTTCCTGGCTGCGCGGGGGCTGGGGAAGGGGGCGCGGCGGGGATCGACTTGACCACAGATGAGCTCCAGAAGTTCAAACTGAAGCTGGGGGCGGAGCCGCTGCACAAAGGCTCTCAGAATGTTGCGCGGGGGCCGCTCCGGCAGCCCCCGACCCACTATGCTGCGACCCCAAAGCAGTCTGCTGCGCGTCATTGGCATGCAGGTTTCAGGCGGTCACGTCCGTCCCCCGCCCCACCCCCCCGGCAGATCCCGTTCGACCACTCTTGCTTGAGTCCTGGTGCACAGTCTCTGGACCCAGCCCCCCTCTTCGTGGCCAAGGACCCAGGCATTCAGCCGCGCCCCAGCCTTCCTGTCTCCTCCTTCAGATCCTTCCTTGGGTCCCTTCTTCAGAATTCCTGCCGGCGCCTCCCTGCGGTTTAGGAATGGACTAATGCAGATCCTGGCAGAAAGTATCCCGCCCCACCTGCCCCCTCAAGGCTCCTGGGTCACCTGGTGCTCTGTTCCATGTCATAGACTCTATTCCCTCTTCGCAGATCTCTCTCTCTCTCTCTCTCTCTCTCTCTCTCGACCAGATTGGGAGTTCTGGGGTTACCAGCATAGGTGAGCCTGGGTTGGGAAAGCTCCTGGGAAGAGGAAGCTCCTACACGGGTCTAGGAGACCACCAACTGGCCTAGGCAGGACTGGGCAAGGCAGGAGGGGGAGGGTCGCTGAGGCTGGGTCCCCGTGGGGGGAGTCCGGGGGCCTCAAATACCAGCTTGAGGACAGTGACATGCCCTTTTTTTGGGGGGGGGCAAGCAGAAGAGCAGGGCAACGCTGATGTTCCTGGGTAAAGATAACCCGCTGAAGCACAACCCACCTATTCGGAGAAGAGGAGGGCAGCTCCACCTCGGGGGCTAGTCCTTAGACACCCCCCCCCCGCCTCCTCCCGCCCCCACACCTGTCGTTTATTGTTCCGAAGCCCAACAAATGCTCCCTGATGGACCTTCCTGGGCCTGTGTTAGACTCATACTCTCCTGCAGCAACTGCCTGTGATTTGCCACACGTCTGACCTGGGCAAGCCGGCGTGTGTCTGCGTCTCTATTTGCTAATGCCTGGGTGTCTCTTCTGGGCCCCCGTGGGAACCACGAACCTTGGGGTGCGCACAACTGTGTGTGGGCTCTGGAAGCGTTCCAGACTTCAAGCCCCATCCAGAAAAGCAGCCTGGCTCTGGGTCGCGGTGCCAACCTGGGCATGCTCACGGAGGTGCGTCGCCAGGCCGGCCTTGCCCTCCCCGTTGGACGTTGTGCCCCTCGGGCCTACACTAGCAAGTTCTGCGGCTCGGAGCAGTACGTGGACCTGAGCGAAGCAGCCTGGCGGCCGCCCGACCCCAAAACCGCCCCTCTAGTCCCAGCCTCCGGAGCCTCCGCCCAGCTGCCCGCCCGCGCCCCGGCCGCAGGCACGTGTTCTCCTCCCGGTTCAGGGCGCTCTGCCGGGAGGCCGCGGCCCCCGCATCTCCGGCCGCTCGGGTTCCCCAGCGCCCGCCCCTGAGTCCCTGTTCCAGGCTCGCCTCTCCGCCAGACTCCGCCTTCCGCTGGCCAGTCCCCATTCCCGAGCGGCCTCGCCCCGCCCCCTGGAGTTCCCCGCACCTCCAGGCGCCCCGGGCCCAGAAGCTCCGAATCCAGGTCAACGCGGCGACCCCAAGAGCGGCCCGACCCCGCTGCGGCCAACAATCCCGTCCCACCGCCCCCCCTCCGCCGGAGGCCGCGAACCCCGCACCTTGAGGCGCGCATGGGCTTCGGCGGCGGGCAGCAGGCGGTGGCCGCGGTGCGAGCCGAGCGAGGCGCACACGCCGCACACGAGCGCTCGATCCTGCTCGCAGTAGATGCTGAGCGGGTCTAGGTGCTCCTCGCAGTGGCCCTGCGGCACCTGCGCCAGCCCCTCCACCAGGCGCGCCAGCTGCTGGTTGGTGCTGAGCGCCTGTGGCCGCGTGAGTGCCTGGCAGCACGGGCAGGGCACGGTGCCGTCCGCCGCCGGCTCCCCAGCCACGCGGCTCAGGCAGGCGCGGCAGAAACTGTGGCCGCACTCGGCGGTCACCGGCGCGTCAAACAGCTGCAGGCAGAGCGGGCAGGACAGCTCCTGGTGCAGGAGGCCCGGCGCGGCCGACATGATGGACCTGGGTGGAGGAGAGGCCCGTCAGGGACGCTCAGCGGAGCCACGAACTAGCCCCGGGCCGCCGGACCAGATTGGGAGGATCCCCAGCCTATAAAGACGTCACGTCTCAGACAGAAAGGGGCTCTGGTTCTGGCCAAGAGGAAAGGGGGACTCGGTTTCCATCCCCAAAGAAGTATCAGCTGCATTTCTCAGCCCCAGCCCCCAAAATAGCGGCTAACGGGGACCTTGTCTCAAACCCAGTTCCTAAACACGAGTCCAGGGTGTGGTCTTAACCACTGACTTTCCCCTGGCTCAGCCTCAGGCCACAGCCCCTGCCTCAAATTCCCCAGAGCCCCGCCAGCTACCCTCCTACCTCTCCAGGATCCCCAGGCCTCCCCTCCCCCACATCTCCAGGGCCACAGGACCCACAGGACTCACAGAGCTGTTTGGAGATCTTGGGCAAAAAGAGACTCCCAGGAGGCCCACTCAAGGTCAAGCCTAGCCTTAGGGAAGACAGGCAAAGGACAAGCAGCAAGCTCAGAGCAAGGGCAGGGGACTCACAGGCAAAGCCAGCAGTGGATGCCACAGGTGGAAGCACAGAGTGAATAATAGATAGACCCTCCCAGACTGAGCCCTGGCCCCAGGACTATATTTAGTTGTCCTGCCCACACTTTGCCATCACTTCTGGAAACCGTTCTAAAAGTGAAGACTGAGTGGTCAGCGGGCAAGCATCACATGTCAAGGCCACCTGTCCTGGCCCATCGCACTGTCCCCTCCCTTGCTCAGCCTGGAGCCAGAAATCACAACAAGCGGGAAGACAGGGCCTCCCATACCACAGAAAAGACAGAAACGTTTAGGAGGAGTCTCTCCTTTCTCCCTCACCCCCACCTCCACATTCCCCAGCCTCCCCCTTCCCTGCCTGTGGCCCTTCCCCAGCTTGTCACCCACTTATTCCCCAAGTTTATGGCTCTCCCAGGTCACACTGACAGTACCAGCTCCACCTGCAGGCGGACAGGACCTCAGCCCACTCTGAAAGGTTTTCTGCCTCCCAAAGTTGAGGGGAAGGTCTCTCCAGTGCCCAGCCCAGGCCCTGGGGCAAAGTGGGCCTCCCTAAGTGCTTGGGAAATCAGTGATAGAGGGACAGATGAATAAATGAAGGGACTGAACCCATAGCCTGTAGCCCAGAAGCTGATTCTGCCCTGAGAGCTTTGGGCTTTTACACGCTTAGCCTTCAAATCTCAGTTTGAACTGTATTCAGGATGAAAACCAAAGTCCTCACTGTGGCCTACGAGACCCTACTGAAGCTGAGCTCATTCTCCTCTCAGCCCAACTCCAGCCTTGGCCTTCAGACTTGCCCTCCCCCCACCCGCCCCCCGCACCTGGAACACTCCTTCAAACATGGTTCCCATCCTATTCTCCCTCCAATCTTTACCCGAGGTCACCTTTTCAGTGAGGCTTTTCCTAACTACCTGATTTTAACTCTCACATCTCCTTTCCCTGCTCTATTTTCCCTATAACATTTATTAACATCTGACAAGCAATATTTTACTTATTGCTTTTTTTTTTACTGATCTCTCCTACCAGAATATAAATTTTGTACACTGCTTGTCTCCAATTTAGAATAAAGCATGCGCACACTGCAGGTGCTCAAAAAATACTCAGTGAATGAATAAACACACAAGCTCACTGGGTTCTTCTCTTTTGGCCTCTCAGACACACTTTCTTAGCCTTTCCCTGGATTTGTCCATTTCTCCCTCCCTCCATCACATTCTGAGGTTCTGCTTAGGTTTCAGTCATAATCTCCCTCTTTGGACTCTTTTTTTGCCTCTCTTGGGTTTTAATGTTCATTTTTATTAATTTTATCCCAAATGTGCACACGAGGTGTTCTGGATCAAAGACAGACTTATTCAATCTCTCCTAGCAAATAGTAAACATCTGGCTCCCTGTGCCCTAGGATGATAGGATGAGAGCCAAGTTAACTGCCCCATGAGGGTAGCCAGACACCCTAGAGGTGAGCAACAAGGGAGACTTCCAAAAAATAAAAATAAAATAAATAAAATAAAATAAAAATAAATAAATAAAAAAACAAGGGAGACTTCCTTTCCCTGCTTATCAAGAGAAGAAAGCACCTGTTCCACTCCCCTGCTTAAAGATCTTCTCACTCCAACTCTTTGGCAAGTAACTAAATCTCTGCAGGAGCCAGGTAGCTCCCTACACACCTCAGCTCAAATCTTTGGGTTTTTGCTTTTGTTTTGTTTTTTATTTCAAGAATATATTTCATTTAACCCAATGTATCCAAAATATTATCATTTGACATGTAACCAATATGAAAATTATTAATGTGGGGTGCCTGGCTGGCTCAGTGGGTAAACCATATGACTCTGGATCTCAGAGTCATAAATTCAAGCGCCATGTTGGGCATAGAGCTTACTTTTAAAAAATTATTAATGAAATATTTTACATTCTTTCATACTAAGTCTTTGAAATCAGGTATGTATATTATACTTAGAGTACATCTCATTTTAGACTAGCCTCATTGCACGTGCTCAAGAGCTGCATATTTATAGTAGCTATCAAATAGGACAGCGGGGACTCCTGGGTGGCTCAGCGGTTGGGCGCCTGCCTTTGCCTCAGGTCGCGATCCTGGGATCCAGGATCAAGTCCCCCATCAGGCTCCCTGCATGGAGTCTGCTTCTCCCTCTGCCTGTGTCTCTGCCTCTCTCAGTCTGTATCTCTCATGAATAAATAAATAAATAAGTCTTTAAAAAAAAAAAACATAGGACAGCACAGCTCTATCATCTTGATGATCTTATAATTGATTAATATGAAAGATGGTCTTATTAAGTCTCGTTGATGAAATATATATTAACTCTCATGTGCTTGATCAAAATCCTAGGAAAATGCAGACTTTGAGGAGAAAAAGCAGAGCATTCTTGTACTTACATACAAAAGTTGTATTTATGAACTGAACCTCCCATTCCTTCTAATAATGTTAAATCCCAAAGCAGTGTCTAGATAAACAATGAATTGCATTTCAAAAGCATGAGTAAACTCTAAATATGACAAGTCTTTGGGCTTGTCTCCAGGTTCTGAAGCTCATTTCTTCTTAAACACAAGGCTCTTACATGTTGCCTGTTGGCCCATTTAGGAAGCTACCCCAGGCTTCCTGGCACCTTTGGGCTTAACCCAGGAACCTTGTACAGGCTATAATCATTTAGGCCCCTGAGGAAGAGATAAGTATTATTATTCTTTTGGATCAGAGCAACTGACAACACAAATGACTACAGATTTTACCCTCAGGATATTGAAAGTCTCAGGAAGCTACTAGAGCTTTTTACCAGAACCCTGAGAAACCCAGGGGAGTTTGATTTCCCCAAACAGGAGAGGGTAGGGATTAGAGTGTATCTGGAGCTCATCTCTGAAACCACAAACCACTTTACTTCCACTCAAAAAGTCAACATCCTGAATGTCGATCTCACCTGGAGTTTCCATCACTGCCAGGCTGAGGCTGAGGGTTATGGTGAATAGGATGTGGGTGCCCAGGACAGAAGATGACATCTCTCACTGTAGATGGGCCAGATCTGATCTCTGACCCATGGGAGGGACATTGCATGTCTACAGCCAGTTGGAGGAACCATATCTGGGGGAGGGGGAAATAAAGACTTGTGTTGCTAACTGTAAGATGGAACTGTATGAAGTCCCTGGGGCCCAGAGGCTCAAAGGGGGCAGCTTGTCCTAAGGGAGAGCTTCCCAATGACTGAAGTCAGAAATGCCATAGAAGGTGAAAGCTCCTTGTATTGGATAAATGCTGAAAGAAGGTGGAAATCCCCCAATCAGGACCAGAGCAAAAGCAGGTCCTGAATGCTGATGTCACAAACTCATGCTGGCTACTCTCAGGAAGATCACCTACCTTTCTGAATTCCAATATCTTCAGCTACAATATGAAGATAAATAGGATAATAATACCATCCCTGTAGGGTTGTTATGAGGATTAAACTAAATATTATATTAAATAAATACCAGAGGGCAGCCCGGGTGGCTCAGCGGTTAAGCGCCACCTTCAGCCCAGGGTGTGATCCTGGAGACCTGGGATCAAGTCCCGCACTGAGCTCCCTGCACGGAGCCTGTTTCTCTCTCTGCCTGTGTCTCTCATGAATAAATAAATTAAATCCTTAAAAAAATAAATAAATAAATAAATAAATAAATAAATAAATAAATAAATAAATAAATAAATAAATACCAGAGACAGTGTGCTGGCACCCAAGGGCCTATAAGGCAGTGACTGCCACCACCAGGCTCAAATCCTGACTCCACTCTTTCCTCATGTGACTTTGGGCAAGTCACTTAACCTGATTTTCTCATTTGTAAAATGGGAATCATGTAAGGATTTTTATTAAGACTCTTAGAGGCAAAAAATAAAAATAAAAAAAAAAAAGACTCTTAGAGGCAGGGTACCTGGATGGTTCAGTGTTTGAGCATCTGCCTTTGGCTCAGATCCTGATCCCAGGGTCCTGGGATCAAGTTCTGCATCAGGCTCCCTGCAGGAAGCCTGCTTCTCCCTCTGTCTGTGCCTCTGCCTCTCTCTCTCTCTCTCTCTCTCTCTCTCTCTCTCTCATGAACTAATAAATAAAATCTTTTAAAAAAAAGACTTAGATTGGGGTACCTGGGTGGCTCAATCAGCTGAGTATCCAACTCAAGGTTTTATCTCATCAGGGTCATGAAATCAAGCCCTATGTCAGGCTGTGCATTCAGTAGGGAGTCTGCTAGAGATTCTCCATCTCCTTCTACCTCCCCCATCCCCTCCCCACCCTGCCCACTGGCGAGTGTGCTCTCTCAAATAAATCTTTTGAATTTATTCATCCATGAGAATCACAGAGAGGCAGAAACACAGGCAGAGGGAGAAGCAGGCTCCATGAAAGGAGCCCGATGTGGGACTCCAGGATCACGCCCTGAGCCAAAGACAGACGCCCAACTGCTGAGCCACCCAGGCATCCCTCAAATAAATAAATCTTAAAAAAAGTCTCTTGGATTGTTATGCAGATTCAACAAGCTAATTCATATAAAGCTCTTAGAACAATGCCAAGCCCATAGAAAAATTCAATAAATATTGGCTATTAATATTATTACAATTTTTATTAATAAGTATTCCAAGGAATTTCCCTACAACTCTGTAAGGTCAATAACATCATCGCTACTTTAGGGACTGGGAAACTGAAACTCAAAAACTTTAAAATGACCAAATCACTTACCATATGCCAGGCCTATTCCAAGCATTTAAACGTTCTTAATCCATTTATAACCTCATAATCTCATTTATAACCTCATGTAATAACCCAGCATTGTTCCTATTTTACATGGAGGCCATAAGGCGTGAGATTAAGTGGCTTGCCCAATCCTCTGGCAGTCTGTGGTCCTGGCCACAGAAGAAGCAATCTGGTTCCAGCTATCAAGGGTTACTTTTGTTGGGTGGGGAGAATTACACCCAGGAAGCATCTTACCACCACCAACAGCTCTGGCTCTAGTCCAGGGGGCAAAGGTGGGCCTAAAGTACCACCTGAAAGTTCTTTCCTTGCCAGGGATCAAAGTTTAAATCTCTTAGTACTCCCCCCAGAAATGGAGGTGTTGATGGAGAAGGGATTATCATGGTTTCCCAAAGAGCTGCCCAAAGTTCCTAGTCCCCACCTCCCCAAATGGAAATCACACTGGCAGTGTCCAGGAACAAGTAGGCTCTGCCCCTACCTCCCTAGGGGATCTTGGCCAAATCATTGCACTTCTTGGGGTCCTGCTTCTCTCTGGGCTGATGAGGTGAATGAATTAATGTTATAGAATGTGGACCCCAGAAAGGGGCTGTGACCTAAGTCACACAACCAAGAGGATCTGGGAATCAAATCTGGCTGGGTCTGACACACTCATTTCCTGCTTTTCCCACTATTCCACAATCTTCTGAATGTACTTTGTAAGTTCTAGAGCTTTCTGCAAAGAGGAGGCAATATTATCATTACTATTATTGTAACATCAACCTTTCTAAGATGTTTGTGGACAGTCTGGAGGAGGCATGAATTTCCATATACATAATCTCTCCAAGCCATTTGTCAATTTTTGAGGAGAGCAGGAACATTTAAGATGGTGGTTGGAATTTGGGCCTAGGAGTCAGATGGTTCAATCTGTGTTTCCTCATTTACTACCACTGTTGGCTTCCAAAGCAATTTCTGAAAACCTCAGTTTTCTCCTTTGTAAGGTGGGATAAATACACACACCTCACAGGGATGTTGGGAGGTTTTTTTTTTTTTTAAGATTTTATTTATTTATTCATGAGACAGAAAAAGAGAGAGAGGCAGAGACACAGGCAGAGAGAGAAGCAGCCTCCATGTAGGGAGCCTGACGTGAGACTTGATCCTGAGACTCCAGGATCATACCCTGGGCTGAAGGGAGGCGCTCAACTACTGAGCCATCCAGGCATCCCAATGTTGGGAGGTTTAAATGAGATTATACATGTTAAGTGCTTATAGTACAGTGCCTAGAACAGTAAATTCTAAAGAATGAAAGCTATTATTACTGTCTCCCACCAGCACTTATCATGCAGACAGGTGTCTAGAAGATCCTTAATACATCTATTTAGAACAAAATAGGGGCACCTGGGTGGCTCAGTTGGTTAAGCCTCTGACTCTTGATTTCAGCTCAGATCATGATCTCGGGAGTCATGAGATTGGGCTCTGTGCTGGGCACAAAGCCTGCTTCAGACTCTCTCCCTCTCACTCTGATCTCCCCAACCCACTCATACACTCTCTCTAAAAAAAAAAAAAAAAAAAAGGTAATTTATTTTTTAAACAGAATAGATTCTCGAAAGCCTTTCTTCCCTTCTGAGTTCAGAGTCTACAATATGCTCATAGAGCACATCCACCTGCCAAAAAGTGTCACTTGTTCTCACTGGGGTCCACTGGCTAGTGAAGCTTCTGTTTCCATGAAAGGAATAGCTGTCCTTCCAGCCCCTTGTCCCTTGGCTCCCTATGACATCCCACCAAAGGGATAGCTCTTGCTCTGAGATGTCAGACAAAAATCACAGCCTGATCGTCCGTGTCCCAGTCTGAATGTGTGAGCAAAAATGTGACTGGAGTTGGATGCCAGGGACAAGCTAGGCCCAGAAGGGTCCTGGGTGATGATATGCAAGGACGAGGGAAGATACAGTGTCACACCACCATGGCACACATTCTCAGTGCCATCACCCCCAGAACACCAGCTGTAAGAAGCCCATCCTCAAGGCCACAGCCATCTCATCCAAACATGGATTCAAGAGTTACAGAAAAATGGCCATGTAGCTAAGGGGTGCCTGCTCGATACGGGGATTAAGTCAGGCAGTCGTTTTTAAAATTCCATGGTTCAAAAATCCAAAGCACTGGGGTGCTCTGGCAGGTCAGTCAGTTAAGCATCTAAGTCTTGGTTTCGGCTCACGTCATTACCTCAGGGCCGGGAGAGAGAGCTCCACATGGTCTTGAGTCTACTTGAGATTCTTTCCCCTCCCTCTCCCTCTGCACCTCCCCCCAACCCCCTGCTGGTGCACACTCGCTCTAAAATTAAGAAGGGGCACCTGGGTGGCTCAGTGGTTGAGCATCTGCCTTCCGCTCAGGATGTGATCCCAAGTCTGGGAATCAAGTCCCACATCATCGGGCTCTCCACAGGGAGCCTGCTTCTCCCTCTGCCTATGTCTCTGCCTCTCTCTGTCTCTCATGAATAAATAAATAAATCTTAAAAAAAAATAAAATCTTTTTTTAAAAAGCATTTAATATTCTACCAATGTGAAAAGAGCAGGTTTCTATGATTCTAGATGCTAGGATTCTTTTGTCATTCCATAAAGGCTGGATCTATGCCAAGCCCTGTGGTAGTCGCTATGGACCACAGTGGGTGCTCAAGAAGCTCTCAGTCTGGTGGGAAAACAGAGTGAACAGACACTGTAAGATAAAGGCCTCATAAAGGCATCCTCCAGACATGTGAAGGAATAATTCATTTTGCATAGAGGACAGAAAAGTCAACAAGGAGTAGACAGAGGACAAATTCAAAAGCTAGACAAACAACCTATATGACCCTCTTGGCTATATGACCTTGGGCAAGTCCTTTAATCTCTCTGAGCCTGTCTTCTGACTGGTAAAATGGGGTTACTAGTTACAAAAAGGACTGTTGCCAGGCTTCAAAATAATGCATGTAAAAGATCACAGTCTAAAGAGGGAGCTCAAATTTTTATTATTTCTTCAACGAAGTGACTCCTGATGTTGGGACAAGCAGTATCTCATCAAGTAGTCCAGAAAGGAAAAGAGACCGAGCAGAGAACAGGTGGCACGTGTGCAAAGAAGTCCAGAGGCCAATGAGCTTAAAGGTGTACCAAGGAGCTTGGACTTGATTCTGAGGGCACTGGGGAGCCAAAGGTTTCTGAGCAGGGGTGGGATGAGATCAATATGTGGGCTAGAAAGATGTAGCCTTTTGGCCACTGTGTACAAAATGAGCTGGAGATTCTAAAAGGATAAAGACCAGTGAAGAGGCACAAGAATAAACAGCCATAACTGGGGAAGCCGCACGATGAATGTGGGGGTGTCACACAGCAAAGTAAACCCCAACACTCGCGTGATGAATAGCCGGGGTATCTGGCTGGCCTACATCATCTTGGTAGGACTGCTGCATGTGGTTCTACTCAGCATCCCCTTCTTCAGCATACCTGTTGTCTGGACCCTGACCAACGTCATCCATAGCTTGGCTATGTATGTCTTCTTACATACAGTGAAAGGGCCACCCCTTGAGACCCCTGACCAAGGGAAGGCTCAGCTACTGACACACTGGGAACAGATGGACTACGGGCTCCAATTTACCTCTTCCCACCAATTCCTCAGCAGCTCTCCTATTATACTCTACCTCCTGGCCAGCTTCTACACCAAGTATGATGCTGCTCACTTCATCAACACAGCCTCATTGCTTAGCGTACTGCTGCCTAAGTTACCCCAATTCCATGGGGTTCGTCTCTTTGGCATCAACAAATACTGAGGGATAGGGCTGGGGATAACACTGGACCAAAGGGCTAGAACATCCTTTCCTTCTCCGTATTGTCTTCTGTATCTTGAAAGCCTGAGAACCATATAACCTTTCCCAAACTCCAGGAAGAGAACAGATTGGAAAATGGGGCTCCCGGGGCCCAGCCCTAAGAGATTTCTTTGAATCAGGAAAGGTGGGAAAGATAAGGGTTAAATCACTCTCCTTCACAGCAGGAAGCCATGTTTAAACAGCTCATTTGGTAACTGAGCAGCTTGTTTTGTGATTTTTTTCTTTCTACCCATACCACTTTCCAGCTTTGTTTTGCTGTGTATTTTCCTTATAATACTTTTATCTCCCAAAAAAAAAAAAAAGAATAAACAGCCATAAGCCAAGGAACACTGGCTGTTGGACCACAGGTGCCACCCATGGTGAGGATGTTGGCACGTAATACACCCGGACCATGTGCGGCAACATGCACAAGGATGGGGACTAGGTCCTGCTACCCTGCTGGAAGCTTCCCAATATAACATGCTGCGGGTAACACGGCCTTATTTATTCCTTCATTCAGCAAATCTTCACTGAGTACCTCCTGGGTATCAAGTATTCTCTTGATGCTGGGGATTCAGCAATGAACAAGACAGACAAGGTCACTGCCCTCACCAACCTCACATTCTAATAGGGGATGCCCGGAAGTGACATTTAACTGGAGACCTAAAGTCTCAAGAATGTATCAGGCAAAGAGGGAGAGAAGAGATTTCCAGATCAAGGGGACAGCATGTTGAAAGGCTTAGAGAAGCAAAGGAGTATGGCACATTTGAGGAAATGAGAGACCAGTGTGGTTGGAACTCCCTCAGATAGAGGGAGAACAGGGTGTGGCACCAGACAAGCCCAGCGAGGCCCACAAAGACCAGACCAACAGGGCCTTCCCAGCCATTTCAAAGGCAAGTTAAGGATTTCAGGCACAGCTTGGGCTCCAATACCTACTCGTGCCACCTTTCACTTGCTATTCTAGATCAAATCTCTTGGGCCCAGAGTGGCTCTCCACTCATGACTTTCCCTCAAGAAGTTTCTCAACCATTCATTACAAGTGTCTCATCATCACTTCCCTAGAAATTCAGCTCCTGGGACCCAATCCTGGCTGTCCCAGGTGCTGCCAAATATCTGGCAAGGTTTCAGAGGCCATCAGGTAGCCAATGCCATGCTGGAATATTTACTAAGAAGAATGAGTGACTGGTAATGATCCCATTTTACAGATAAGGAAACTGAGGAACAGAGAAAAAGCAGTTACTCTCCATCCTTTTTTTACACCTTTTCTCTCCACTATGTGGAATTTGGTAAGCTACAAGGTTCTAGGTGTTAGGATTCTAGGATTCTAAGATTCTATGATGTGTGAGAGAGGATGCTAAGGTTCAGGGAAAATGTGTGTTAACATTCTAGAATTCTAAGGTTCTAAACCTTGGTACTTCAATAAACCAGGTTCCTGGTCTGTGCCAGTTACTAGAAGCCTGGAAATGCAGGTGCTGCCCCACAAGCCCCTCTCTGCCCAGTCTCCCAGGTCCCACCTCACACATCAGCTGAGGATGCAATCCTGGCGCCCCCCAATGGCTGGACTATTCAGTCTGGAGACCTTGGTAGGTGGAAACCAATGGGGTAGTTGGGGCCCCTTTGCCACCGGGCAATGGGCTGGGGCAAAGGCGGGAATCGGGGGAAGGCGGGGAGTTCCAGGTCCCGCCCCGGAGCAGACTTCCTGCTCCACAGACATCCCAGGTGAACGACAGCAGCAGGGGACCCCAGAGCCATGGGGCGCACTCGCGACGCCATCCTGGATGCACTGGAGAACCTAACTGCAGAGGAGTTCAAGAAATTCAAGATGAAGCTACTTTCAGTGCCCCTGCGTGAAGGCTACGGGCGCATCCCTCGGGGGACGCTGCTGCCTATGGACGCCATGGATCTCACAGACAAGCTCGTCTCTTTCTATCTGGAAGAGTACAGTGCAGAGCTCACTGCGGTCGTGCTGCGGAACATTGGCATGCAGGAGACAGCAGAGCGGCTGCAGGAGATCTCGTGCAAAGGTAAGCACAACCCCTCCACACCCTGCAGGGGCCCAGATCCCTGTGCCTCCTCCTATACCCTCTCACTATACTAGCCCCCATGCCCCCACCTCAACGTTTGTCCCTAGGGCTCTTTCACTTTCTGTTCCTCTTACCCTCCAAAATTAAAAAAGCTCCTCCTGCTAGGAAGGGAAGTTTCCCCTGCTCTGCCCAGACCTTGGCTTCCGGACCAAGGGGCCCCTGACCCCAGAGAGACTGGAGACACAGCAGTAAGGGCAAGGGATCACTTGACTAATTTCCTTACAGGCCACACTCCAGGGCCTGCTGGGATCCAGGATTACCGGACAGCAGCCAAGCCAGGTGAGGCCTTCACTCCCAGCCTCTCCAGCCACACCCCACCACACCCCAGCACTACCTGGAGCTGTGTCCCACAGCCAGTAACACTGGAAGAGCAAAGCTGGGCCTAATCTTCCTACCCACCTACACACCTGTTGGGCCACACCTGGGGGGGGGGGGTACCTGCTGAGCTCCAGGCTTAACAGATGGTAGGAAAACCAGATGAGACCTTCACTCCCAATCTCTCCAGCCACACCCCATCACATACACACACCCACACACACACACAGACAGGAACACTGGGAGAGCAAGGTTGGGCATACCCTTCCTACCCACCTACACACTTGGGCCACACCTGGGGGGGGGTGAAAGGGAAAGAGAAAGTTATATTCAACCCACTGTATCTGTAGCACCTATGGGCTGCCCACCTTGAGCCCCACCCTTTAGAGTTACAGAGCCAATTTCCGAAGAAAGCAGCGCTCAGCAGGACTGGGTCCCAGTATCCACCCTGGAACTGGCTCAGCTGCCCTCTTCCATTCTACCAGGAGCATCACACTTTGTGGACCTGCACCGGGCCGCCCTCATCACACGTGTCACAGAGGTGGATGAGGTGCTGGATGCCCTGTATGGGAAAGTCCTGTCAGAGCAGCAGTACCAGGCAGTGCGGGCAGAGTCTACCAACCCAGGGAAAATGAGGAAGCTCTTCAGCTTTGCTCCAGCCTGGGACACAACCTGCAAAGATCTTCTCCTTACGGCCCTGAGGAACACCCAGCCCTACCTGGTGGCCGACCTGGAGAAAAGCTGAGGTGTTTTCCCCAGCAGCAGCCCTGCATACAATCCCTGGCAGTTCCAGCCGACTCACCCCGAATGTCTTTATACATACACAGTACATGAAAATCCAACTTGGGGAGCACCTGGGTGCCTCAGTCGGTTGACTGCCTTCCACTTGGGTCACGATCCCAGGGTCTCAGCAGGGAGCCTGCTTCTCCCTCTCCTACCCCCCTGCTTATGCACTCCTCTCTCTAAGTAAATAAATCATCTTAAAAAAAAAAAAAAGCCCACTCATATTTGTGTATTTTTCCCAATTCTAGCCTGGAAGCACATGCAGAGCTAAGCTATGTATGTAAATGCTGCCGAGGCCAAGTGAAGCTGTACTTCACTGCCTGTTCCTAGGCAGCAGGCCCCCAAACACTTCATCCTTTCTGCCTCAGTCACCATGGATTATCCCCTCATTTACCATTTGGAAGCTCCTCCAGTGCTACCCCAGAGTCTGCCTTTGAGACCATAGTTAGCCAAAATGAAGAGGTATGTACAAAGGGTCTGGAACTGTAACAGGCCAGCTATGTCAGAGACATTTGACAACAAACGAAGTCTACATATCTTCTTTCACTTTTTCCTTTAGGGAAAAAAAAAGTAAAATTAGAGCACTGAAATTTTCAAGGAGAGACAGAGTATCCTCTAAACATAGAAGAGCACAAGAAATCAATCATAATTCTAGGATTCCTTGTGGCACTGACTTCAGCTGGCTTAATTGTTCCTTCTGCTCCCTGCCACCCCCTAGAGGAGTTACAGGTTATACTTTGCCCAGAAAACAAGCCAACCACAAAACTAAAACTTTGGGAATGAGTCTAGGAGCAGTTTCTTCTCGATTTAATTTTTGCCTAAAGGGAAATAGTATTTTTCTCCAAGAAACAGCACTTAAGGAGGCTTGCAAAAGCTGTTGGGGAACCAGGATCCCAGGATCCCATTCTACGTACCTTTGCACCCAGATTCTTTCTGGCTTTGAAGCAGGATGGAGGTAGGTAGGGAAAGCAACAAGCAGGTACACCAGACCAGTATTCTATTCTTAGGGGTTAGATCATCAGATACAGGGGATCCAGGCATACAAGTGCACCATGAGTGGTTCTGCACCACTCACAATGATACACCAGCTCACAATGAACTGTGCAGACTTCACTTTGAATCTCTCACCTAGAGGACACAAGAACTAGCAAATGCAGTGTTATGCCCCACATACACGCCCTTCTAAGTCAGTGTAACACATCCCTATCCTGATCTACTGGGTCACCAGCGCAACATGAGAAAACAGGGAGTTTGCTACAAGAGGAAGCTACTAAGGTAAGATGTGGCCACCATGAAGGCCACCCTGCCATCACATGGGACTAACTACTCCTAATGCTATTTGGAAAAGCAGAGCTTTCCAAAAAGAGCAATCGGTCAAACCACTGTTTCCTGTACGCTTGTTCTTTAGCCAGCCTCCCCATAAAATGCTGAAATGTGTTCACTTATATATTCTGCAAAGACTTTGCCATGTCCAAAAGAGGTCACCCTTCATCATCTCTGTATCTTGACATAAGGCAGTATCATCTTAACTGGAAAACAAATAATAAATCCTAACACATCCCACAAAGCCATGATTTAATCAGTCTTGCGGATACTAGCTCTTCCAACTTCCAAGACTATCATCCAGAGGTGTCTGGCTGGCTCAGTCAGTGGAGCATGTGATTCTTGATCTCGGGGTTTTGAGTTCAAGCCCCATGTTGGGCATGGATCCTACTTTAAAAAAAAAAAAAAAAAAAGAACGACTAATATCCAAGACTAATGTTTGTGCTAGCTAGCTCATCCAACTTACATCTCACCACCTTTTCTCAAGCTCACTGCTGCCACCTGGCTTATCCCTAATGTCTTACCTGCAACAAGCTTTCTATCTGTAATCTACCTTAAAAGGCTGGTGTGATCAAAATTGATCACGGAAGAACACTCATTTCTAACATTAGGACATCCAAACAGTCCTTTCAGCCTGATCTTTAAGGATTCCAACCTCTATCTTCCTTTCACATATCCCAGGATTCCAGCAATATTTGCTCATATCCTATTTCCTAGGACACGCTGTCCCCTAACTCTGGACACCTTGAAACATACATGTCCTAGCATGCCCACAGGCTGATCTTTGTCTGGACTCCAGTGGTACTTCCCAGGACCGTTGTAGTAAAGCAAACCATGTTGGGTCTATCAGGACTGAGCCCTCATAAAAAGGCAAGCTTTTCAAGATTTGTACAAGTGTTTTGCATGCAAAAAGTAATCAATTGATAGCTACTGTGTATCTCTAGCATCTAACAATTAAAAAAAAAAAAAAACTCCACATGAAGATGCTCCTGGGTGACTGAGTCTCCCTTCAGCTCAAGTCATGATCCTGGGGTCCAGGGACTGAGTCCCAAGTTGGGCTCCCTGCTCAGCCAGGAGTCTGCTTCTCCTCCCTCCGCCCCTCTCCCCTGCTAGGGCTCTCACTTTCAATAAAATTCTTAGGGGAAGAAAAAAAACACATGAAATTTTCTCAGATGATAGGGCCAAGCTAACACTTTTCTTACACAACAGATATCCTAAGAGCAGTTACAGGGACACCTGGGTGGCTCAGCAGTTGACTGTCTGCCTTTGGCTCAACGCTGTGGTCCCAGGGTCCTGAGATGGGAGTCCCACATCAGGTTCACCACCAGGAGCCTGCCCTTCTCTGTATTTATTCATGAGAGACAGAGAAGGGGGCAGAGACGTAGGCAGAGGGGGGAGCAGGCTCCATGCAGGGAGCCCAATGTGGGACTCGATCCCAGGACCCCGGGATCATGCCCTGGGCTGAAGGCAGACGATAAACCACTGAGCCAGACGTCCCAAATAAATAAAATCTTAAAAAAAAAAAATGCAGACCTGAAGCAAAAGAAATAGTTCTAAGAAACTTCCTTTAGTACTTCTTGGGAGCTTTTTTCCTTGGGGATACTGGGGTGGGAGGAGGCACAGGACAACTAAACTTTTTTAAGACTATTTTTTAGAGAGCAAGAGCAGGGGGTGGGGCAGAGGGAGAGAAAGAGAACCTCAAGCAAACCCCACACAGGGGCTCACAATCCTAAGATCATAACCTGATCCCAAAGCAAGAGTCAGACATTTTACTATGCCACCCATGCTCTGAAGAACTTATTTCTGCTTAAGTCTTTAACTACAGCACATCATCATGGTCAAAGACACAAGTTCTACAGCCAAAGGATATAAACTCAAATCCCTGCTCCACTTCACATCAGTTATGAGCCTATGGCCAGTCTGTCCCTCAGCATTCCCATCTTATAGAGATAATAGGATATAACTCATCACCAGCAACAACTGGTCCATAGCCAGTACACGTTACTGTTAATACCTCCTCTAAGATGTTTTTGTTCCTAAGCTCCCCAGTGACTTAACATAAAAAACACCTTAATCAACATTTGCACTAACCACCAATCAACAGAAGACTGAAAAAATAACGGGCATCTGGCTGGCTCAGTTGGTGGAGCACGCCATCCTTGATCTCAGGGTTTTAGGTCTGAGCCCCATGCTAGGTGTAGAAATTACTTAAAAATGGTCTTTAAAGAAAGTTATTACTGGTCTCCTTGCAAACTTGAATATGCCCCTACCCAGTACCATGCCTGATACTAAGCCCAGAACAAAGAATTCTGAAAAAAGGGAAAACCTGTGCTATTTAGCAAAATCTTTAAGCAGAACTCAACCTTCCATAGGGTGACATTTAGCTTAGCTCCTAGCTAGCACTATTTATACAGAAAGCTTTACAAAGTTCCCCCCTTCACAGGGGTAAGGTAGAGGGAAATAGAAAAAGAATCTCTAAAATTTATAAACTAAACGTGCAGTTGAACAAGCAACTTCAACACTGCCACAGAATTCATGTCCCACCTGGACCTACACAGTGAATTAGAATCCACATGCTAACAAAATCCCCAAATAATTCATGTGTTCAACTTAGACACATTGCTAGAGAGGATGTGGCTCCATCTCAGTTTGAGGTTTGCAGAGGCCATCCCTTATCAGGATGTACATGTACTTTTTTACTCGGGGAGACAGTAAATAGGCTGTCCTTCTCTGAAACTCAAATAAAAACTAAAAACCTTTAAAAAGTCCTCACAATCTCTATCAGAAGTTCTCACTCCCTGAAGGCGCTACAGTTAAACTCTAAGGACACAAAAGTGAACAAGTTACAATGGAATCAGCTACAGGGCACTGGTACAATTGTGCAACACTGCCACCGAGGTGTGTGCAGGATGCTACCTGGAATGCTTGGCTCCTGTTCCCCTCAATGTTTATTCTTCCCATACTCATCCCACTGAGGTTCCTCCAGAGCTCTACACTTAAAGCCACCTAATTTTTGGTTCCCACTGCAGCAGAGAATCCCAAATCCTTAACCCAATACTTCCAGCTCCTCTCCTCACACTAGTGGCTCTGAAGTGTTCTGTTAAAGGAGCCCTTCTGAGGGAACCTGGGTGGCTCAGTGGTTGAGTATCTGCCTTTGGTTCAGGTCATGATACTACGGTCCTGGAATCAAGTCCCCCATCAGGTTCTCCACAGGGAGCCTGCTTCTCCCTCTGCCTAGGTCTCTGCCTAGGTCTCATGAATAAAATCTTTGAGGGAAAAAAAGACCTTCCTTCTGGGGCCCCTTGATGGCTGTCGGTTGGACATCAAACTCCATCTCGGTCATGATCTCAGGGTTGAAGCCTCTGAGTTATAAGCATAGTCTGCATGCCATTCTCTCCCTCTGCCCCTCCCTCCCACCTTGCACTCAAAAGCACACATGCCCTCACTCTAAGAATCATCTTTGAGAAAAAAAAAAAAAAAAGCCCTTCTCCCCGGCACTACAGCCCCAAATACACCACTGTCCAAAGAGCTGAGAGAGCACTATTCCCAGACCCAAACTCCTGCTCATTAAGTACTTTTCCCCTCATCTATTCCTGCCTCAATGAGGGTTAGACTGGACAGCCTCCAAAAGCTTTTTTTAATAGGATTTATTTGAAAAAGAGTGCTCACAGGAGCAGAGGAGAGTTAAGGGGAGCAGCAGTTCCCTCGCTGAGCAGAGGCCAATGCAGGGCTCAATCCCAGAACCTAGAGATCATGATCTGAGCTTAAAGGCAGATGCTTAACTGACGGAGCCACCAACATGCCCCCCCCCCCAAAAAAAAGTTTTTCTAACTATTAACACTATGGATCAAGGGCCCAATTATTTCTACAAGCCCTA